GAACTGCCGAGCAGTCAAATTGGCCGTCTTGTATTTTCTTGTACAAATCACGAGAATGCATTTAACGATGTTTGGTTTCACTCGTGTTTCAGTTCAATGTACTGTTAAGTCAATTTACTTAGTGCTAGGTTCATCGACGTTAATTGAACAGTTGATTCCATTATTCCTAGAAAACTTGATGCCCTTTCGTTTAGAACTTTGGACATTAGGACTCGTATTTGCACGATTGCATCGATCTAAACCGATGTAAACGTTTGCCAAGTAACGTTTGTACAATTCAATGGCAAATTGACACGTTCAGGGAAGACTACAAATAATCGATGAGAAAGTATGCACATTAACCCGTTGCCTTGTAGTAATGTGTTTGACTCGCGGTGAAGATCTGTTAGTTATTATATTTTAGAGCAAACATGGAATGTTTCTCTTCTTTTCAATAAAATATTAATGACAAAGTTGTATCGATGGCAAAATAAGTCATAGGGCAACAGAATGAATTAATCAATCCAGTATGGAAGATAAACGAAATTAACAATCGCATTTAATGAATAATTACATCAACAATGGTATGCAATCAGATTGCATTTCGCCCGACTTCGATAAGTAATCGGTAAACGCGGGAGTGAAATAAAAAGGAAAAAATTGTGCTGCGAGCGAAACGATGGGCGTGTCCCTCCGCCGTAACACAATCAGCATTGCTATTCGCTCCGACGCGACACGACGCTGAGCGATCTCTTACGGCAGCTTCGCGGTAACTCGCGTAATTTATTCGCCTCCTACCTGAAGAGGGAAAAGGAACGGCCGGGGAGGATTGACGAGCACAATGTTCTCGGGTCGGCGCGGTAATTGGTGTCGGATAACAATGCGCGTGTCTCTTTCAAATGGTAATATCGCTGCGGCATTCCCGAATGATCGATGCTCTTCGATACTCGGCTAGGGTACCGGTTACTAACTTTCATTAAATATTTGTCGCGAGCTGTCACGGCTGTATATTAACATAAAGAAATGTACAACATCATTCTAAGCAAAACGCGATCCGGAGCAGCTTGTTAACATACGTAGCCTGGCCAATAATGTTTAACATTGTTACGTTTCGTGTCATGAAAATATTATATGGTGCGTTTGGGGATCAAATGTCGCGCGATCGACTAAGCAGAGATAGTGAAATAATAACGAAATAGCAATGAAATAATAATAAGATAATAATAGAATAATAATAAGAAGGTAGAAGAAGAAACAAATAATAACGTTAAACAGTTTGATGTCGCTTAATAAGGTTACATTCTACCCTTTGTATTCTTCGATAATATCACCCAATTTTAGGTACTTCGATCATTACTGCTTACTGTTCAAGAGATGCTAGATGATATTAAATACTGTTTAATATAAGTCAACTATATTGTACTTTAATAAACATCAACTAAACTATCGAGAACAGTCTCGAAATATCTTTGTAATCTCGCTTCATTGCTACTCGACCGTGCAATTTTCAATATCACCAGAAACTAGGTACATCGAACTTGTAAACGTTCGACGAACCTGAACGATTTCCCCGATTCCTTCAACGGAACCGCTAACATTGTATCTCCTATTTAATCCCATCTGATCTGCAACAATGTTACACCGCGTTATATTAGTCGTAGCCTTAGTAGCATCTCGCAATTCATCTCCGGGACACGATAACATTGTTGATCCATGCTTGGTACCGCTGTCGGTCGTGCCTTTCTCCGCACACCTGCGTCCGATTACTTTCGATAATCGGAAAATTACTTCATCAAACCCGTTTAATGGTAAACAGTCTAACCACCGCGAGAGAATCCTGCTCAGAATTTTTCGCGAGACCGCGAATGGGTAACGGTGCGCGGATCGGCGGTTCGCATCGATCGTAAACAGAAAATAATAATGGTTCGGCCTATCCGATCGGAGTCTAACTTGCTTACCTACTCGCTCGCTAGCCGATGCGAAACACGGTGGTCTAATCTCGCAAATATCGACACATCGTGAACACATCGGACGCGCGTGCACGTGTCATTATGGCGGCCATTTATACGGCAGCCGCCGCGCGGTCGTTACCGCAACCTCGTGCGTTCACGACGGTCCGCGTCTCTCTGTTCACCTCTGCCGGAGCATCGGCAACAACATCGGAGGATTCTCTTTTATTAACGTTTTGAAATAGGCATTGGGCAAGAACGATTTAATGACTACGGTGGATCTATGGACTGTGAATCACGTGCCCGGAATCTGCCGCGAAATGAACAGCCGTTTTACATCCGTTCGGAGTCATAAACATCAGCCGCAATAAATATTCTTGTACGGTGTGCGCACCGGTAATGGTCAAACAGAAAATATATGTATATATTTCGGACGGATGTTCCCGCGGGAATTTTTGGTACACTCGTCGAGTGTATTATAAAACGAACGGTAAACGCTGCACGACAATTGAACTGTACTCCCGTGGCGAACGCGTCCGTTACCAGCGACTCGTTTATCGATAGAAAACGCATCGAAGACAAAAGTAAACGTATTGCCGACTGGTTCGCGATTCTGGTCGGGAAATAAATTTATGGAAAGCGTCCTTAACGTATCCGTGTTAATGGCGCGCTCGAGCGATCGCCGTGGATAGGTGAAACCGCCTAGTATGGCTTTACGATCGTTTTTTATTGTGCCACACTATTCGCTGACCCTACAGTTGTACATATGGGTCAAGATCGAGATTAAGAACGAAGTTTCACAGAACCTTTCCGGTCGTCACAAAAGCAACGCAATACACAAGATTTCATTTCACCCTTGTTCGTTTCCAAGTGCTCCGTAAAAGTCTGAATTTATATAAACAGTGGCTACCCGTTACAAGCGCCGCGCCTCGAAATGCATTACGAGATCCGGAAAAAATACGTGACTTCTCGACCGGCAGAAAAAACTCTTACTCTTCCTGGGGAGTACACTTTCACGCGAGGTAAGCTCGAAAATAAACGGAACCCATGGAAACGCGCTAACCGTCAGTGAAAATTACGAAGGCCGATCGAAAAACCAGTTCCAAACCACTCGCTTACGTAAAGAAAAAACGAAGAAGCGGTCATTTGTCGCGCGTAGAACGGCCACGGGGCCTTTGTAGAGTATCTCCGGGCAGGTTTTCGTTCGTGAGCCGAGATTTTAAATGTTGGAAATCGCAGGAAATCGAGCGGTGATTTTCTGGCCAGTAGTCAAAGCCCGCAATTCCCATACGCATAGTTTGTACCGGTTCACAAGTATCAGGTTTCGATCCGGTACTTATCTATCAAATGTACTTTTATTGTTCCGTCTCTGTCACAATGTTAGCCTCTCATGTGGAAGATTGATTCCGTGTTGGATTGAATTAATATCAGCTGGAGAAATCACCGACCGTAGTACTCGATCTTGTACCGGGCGTAATTACTGAACCTTCTTTTAGTAATTACGTAAATAATCGTTGACGATACGGTCGAATTGCGATTGGATGAAAATATATTTTGAAAGATGTTGCATGTACTAACGGCGTATCATTCCGATAAGGTACTTACGTTGTTGTACGCATTTCATGTTTTATAAATGATTCACCGTATTAAGCATCGTTCAACCACGTTACACAATGCGGTTCTTAATGTGCACCGTGATCGGTACACGAAGACGTCATGATAGCGTTTCGCAATGCCGAATAATGCTTGGCAGTGTCGTTTACCACGTTTCTGCTGTTCCTTTAAATACGGTAACAACGTTGTTACGCTGCGATCACAGGGAGCTTTAAACGGTGCACGCGTATCAATAATACCATACTAATACAAGGATATAATTGAATCCCGAGTTTCATGTCGGCAACAATAATTTTCAGTGAATCGAGGGCGCTGTTTCAGTTCTAAGTAAGGGAACCGGTGGCTGGTTAAGTGCAGCTTGAACGTGTTGAAGGTAAGTAAGTATCAGCGCCGAGCCGGGTGTGCGGCTCAATCAAAAAATTCAGAAAAGCAGAACAAAATTTCACCGGCCTACATTTCTCATTGCAGCAATCACGGCATTAAGCAGCGGAAATAAATAAAAAATCCGCGCTCTGTGCCGTGGCATCTGCTTCGGGGCAGGTGCGCGCCGATACGGTCGCGCGCGGTGGCCGTTGAGCAATTTGGCAAATAATGTAAAACGTCGTTTTACATTCAATCACGGTGAAACGTCGTTACTTAACAGTTGCTCTTTTCTCTCTTTCCTTCTGCCTAGCTTCGCTTTCTTTTCGAATCTCGTTAAGAAAAAACAGAAGAGCCACGGTTAAATGTATTGCTATTTTTCACAATCTAGATTAGGTATGGCTAATCTATGATGCATTCAATGTTTAGAAGTGACGCACTGAACCACAAATAAAATTTTTTTTAATCGGTTATACGATTTGTTTATACGTGTATCAAACAAATAAAAAAATTGACGTATGAAATATAAAAGGTCAGCCACCCCTGATTTAAATTGTTCAGAGGTTCAGTTAATCACAAATTTAATCACTCGAATCTTTAGATCATACATCATTATATAAGAAAACAAACACATTTCGAAACATTTTTTCTCGAGTTTTCTTATATCTTATATAAAGTTGATTTTGAATCATTTCAAGGAAGCAATGCTTGTATATACGCGAAACATTCAATTAAAGGCGGTACAATCAGAAACATTTGGTTGTATTACATTATTGCCATAAGTATTAAAAAAAGTATTCGTTCAATTATCTGTATAATAAAAATTAAAATTATTTTAATAGTTTCAATGACAACACCAACACAATATCAATCGAGCTACCGTTATCGCACATTGGGAATAGAATACTTCCGCCATCTATGCGCAGAAACTTGAACTTAAAGTATGTTTCCATAAACTTAAGGTACGTAGATACCTACTGTGTCTTAAATCTGTGGGTAACATTACTTATTTACGCTTGTGGCCGTACTTATATATATATCAATAATTCTGCTCGAAAAACTTAATTGCAAGTCTGTGGTTAGAGTCCGTTAATACACTAAAGTATTTTCTTCAGTGTCCATATTTTAGAACAATAGACAGTAAAATACATTGTATACACAGTCTATACATAACTTAAGTTTGTGACGTTTGTATGCTGGTTTACCGTCTTACTACTTGGTTAACTTCGATCATTTTGCTTGAAGTAGTTTTTCTATTCATCGATTTCTAGGCGTAGAGAGCAGAACTAAACCTCTAATTTTTTACACAGTATAATTTAGAACACGTGATACCGAATCCCATAAGCTTGCAATGTCTATCCTATACCTTGTCTATGGTCTTACGAATATTACATATGTACTGTTAGTGTAATTAAATCAATTACATTATAATAAACGTCCATTTACTACGTTAATTTTTAACTGATGGTACTGTTAAAATTTTTTGTTATAAAAACATTACTAATATCAACACTTTATTTCCGGGATAAAATAAACACAGTACTTACCCTTACCGGTAGTTAGTTAATAATGAAGATTATTTATTTAGTGTATACCAACATTGACTAAGCGAAAAAGGTTGTGAACGAAATGGGTATATAGTTACCTATCTTTATAATAAGTGGTTCTCGGTAACCGCCACGTCTGTTATGTGCCGCCTTATCCCGTAGACCGGTTTGTCGGGAAGGTTGACCGATAATATAAAATAAGTTGAAGAGAACTATTAAAATAGAAAATATGACCCGGTGTAGTTTAATTACGTTAATATGGAGTATCGGGTTGTTTTTCGGTTTCCATCTTCAACCTCTCATTGCTGCCGATGTCATTGACTCTGATCTAAATCTTAAAAACGTGGAGAAACACATCAACTTACAATCTCAATTAACAGAAATTACAACTAGACTTGTGCTAGAAAATGGAAGTAAAGATCGACACATACGAAATTTCCTATTTTCATTGGAATCTGAACAGAAAGGTAATCTAAGCTATATAGGTGCATATAGAGAACCTGTACGGGTTGAGTTGAAGCTGACAGAAGTGAAGGTAAACACACATCCAGATAAAACTTTTTACAAAATTGAATTGAAAGATCCACTTTCTCCTGGGAGAACTATGTCTGTTGAAATTGAAATGATATTGAGCCATGAACTGGTACCTCATCCTAAAGAGATTACGCAAAAGGAAAAGCAATTGGTAAAGTACATGGGAAATATTTATCTTTATTCTCCATACAATATAATGAAACAAACAACAACAGTATCTTTACCATCACGCAATATTGAAAGCTATACCAAACTTAAACCAGTTTCACAGAGTGATTCAATGATTACATATGGTCCATATGAAAAACTTCCTCCCTTCTCGCATGAAGAATTAAATATACATTTTGAAAATAATAATAAATTCCTCACTGTTATCAAGCTTGAGAGGAGCATTGAAATATCTCACTGGGGAAACATTGCAGTAGAGGAACACATTGATTTATTGCATACTGGAGCCTTATTGAAAGGCTCATTTTCTCGTTATGAGTATGCTAGAGAATCTAAGTTAGGGCAGGCTAGTATTCAAAGCTTTGATACTATTTTACCTGCAGCTGCTTCTGATATTTACTATAGGGATGAGATTGGTAATATATCAACATCGCATACTCGTATTAAGAAAGATTCTGTAGAATTGAATCTCCGCCCAAGATTCCCACTCTTTGGTGGTTGGAAAACCCGATATATAGTTGGTTACAATGTACCTAGTTATGAGTATTTGTTTCATACTGGAGATCAGTACACATTAGAAATGAGACTCTTGGATCACGTATTCGATGAAATGGTAGTAGATGAATTAATTGTGAAAATTATATTACCAGAAGGTTCGAAAAATATTGACTTGAGCCTTCCATATCCAGCAACACGTTTGCCAGATTCTCTTCATTATACATATTTGGATACTTCTGGACGTCCAGTAATTTCTATTACCAAGAAAAATTTAGTTGAAGATCATATTCAAAATTTTAAACTAAAATACACATTTCCTCGTATATTGATGTTACAAGAACCATTGCTGGTAGCAGCAGCATTATACCTACTCTTTTTGTTAGTAATCACTTATGTAAGGCTTGATTTTTCAATAGATAAAGATGAGATTTCAGAGAGTAAGTTAAGAATAGCAGGACAATGCGAAAAAATTTTAGCTGTCCAAGATCGGCGTGTAACTTCTTACAATGAATTAGATGATCAATTGGCATATCTTAAAACAAATAAGGATGCCAATGCATTCTTATCCATTGTTAAAGGCATTAATCAAGAATACAAAAATGCAACAAGCATTATTGCAGAAATTGCTCAACGATTGAAAGGAGAATCTGGAGATGTATATGATCGGGTTCAAGAATTACAAAAACACGATAGAACATTAAAAGAACTTTACAATCAACAACAAGCACTCTATGTAGACAAATTAGTACCAGGAAAAATAGGACGTCAGCAGTTTGTAGAAGCAGAGGCAGCTATTGCAAAGAAGAAAGAAGAATGCATTGAAAAAATTAATTCCATTGTAAAATCTTTACAGTAATAAACTTGGTGGAATTTCAAAACTGCAGACTTGATGAAAATAATTTAAAATATTAGATGAAATCGATTTTATAATAAGTTAAAATAAAGTAACCCTTTCTGTATAAGTTAAGATTTGTAATAAAGACATGTAAATTACACTCTGTTAATCATTACTTATTCAAGGATAATAAGAACCATTAATTATTTTAACAATAAATTATCTCTAATTATCGTTAAAAATAATATACTATCTTATATATTTAGTAAAACTAATATATAATTGCTAAAGATATAATGTAGAATCATAAATTTGATTCTTGGGCAACGTCAAACACTTCGTAAAATCATGTGTCAGTATAGAACGCCGGTTAAATAAGACACCTGCTAACCTTTTAGACAGTGCTCGGAAAACTGTCACTTTGTTCGTACGTCGAATGATCGGAGCTAGAATGAGTAATTTACGGAAATTTATAGGTAATCGTATTCTTTCTTTCATAATCGTTTCACGTATCTATCGGTCAGTTTCTTTAAATAAAAAGTTGAACCTTTCCTTTTTTTGTTGTTAATTTATAATACTTAGCAGGAGGTTATACATTTGCTATTCATACGTGGTACCGTTCTTCGTTTTAATATAGATATTGGGGCAAATTTGACGGACCCAATGTTTCAAGGAATTTATCATGGATCTCAAAAACATCAACCGGACTTAGATAAAGTTTTAGAACGAAGTTGGAACAATGATCTCTCCAAAATTATAATCACTGCCGGTAATATGGAAGAGAGTAAAAAAGCCCTTGAAATAGCACGAACGGATGGTAAGATATTGCTACGTAAATATTTTTAAACTGTTAATTGATTCTATATGAATTAGTTGAAAAAATGAAACATTGTCACTGTCGCGTCTCTCTATCACGGGCAGCTGTAGTTCATTATATGAACATTTTTGTATAGAACTATCAATAGATCATAAATAATTGCAATCACTGTAGTACAATTAATATTTTATACACCTTGCAGGCTTTCAGCTGTGAGGCTAAAGACTTAATCTAATAATGTACATCTATTATTTATTTATCTCGTATTAGACTGTGATGCAATCATTACATACGAAGAAACCGCTGAAAGAGAGATGCAATGGTTGCTGTGATTCTGTTCTATAACTACAACAACAATATGCATGTCAATGGAATTAACTAGGTATATATTGTATTATTTTCTTCTCATTTAATTAAATTTGATTTCATTTTTATTACTGCACATGTTGCAGAACGATTATTTTCAACTGTTGGTTGTCATCCAACACGTTGTAATGAATTTGAAGAAAGTGGCAATCCAGAGGCATATCTGAAATCATTATCGGATTTGGCTATAGATAATAAAGATAAGATTGTTGCTATTGGTGAAATGGGGCTTGATTACGATAGACTACAATTTTGTCCTAAGGACACACAAAAAAAGTATTTTGAGCTGCAACTATCTTTATGTTGCACTTTAAAATTGCCTATGTTTTTACATTGTCGTAATGCTAGCGAAGATTTCGTAAAAATTTTAAGGAAACATAAAGATACATTAACAGCTGGTGTTGTGCATTCTTTTGATGGAAATCCAGAAGAAGCAAATTCTATATTACAAATGGGATTGTACATTGGTATTAATGGATGGTACGATAAATAAGTTATATGTTTATAATGTTTAATATAATCAACACTGACTTTAATCACATTTATAGCTCTCTTAAAACAGAAGAAAATCTTTTTTCTGTAACAACAATCCCCTCAGACAGATTGATGATAGAAACTGATTGTCCATGGTGTGAAATAAGACCTACTCATGCTTCTGCGAAAGATGTTATCACCAATTTTCCATCTGTTAAAAAAGAAAAGTGGCAACCAGATCGTATGGTTAAAGGAAGAAATGAACCATGCACTATAGTGTAATTATTAATTTGCTTTTCAGAAACGAAATATGAATAATTAATTAATAATTTGATTCCTTTTTGCAGTCAAATTTTAGAAGTGCTTGCACGAATTAGAGATGAAGAAGAAGAATATCTATGTAATCAAATATACAAAAACACAATGAAGGTCTTCTTTCCTCACGAATTGTAATTGTAACCAAAATTTATTACCACTATGCACAAAAGAAAAACAAAAAACACATAAAAAAGAGAATTTTTACCAAATTCATTTCTTAGAAGGAAGGAAATGAAGATACTCATTTTTTACATACATTACTCTATGGGCGTGACTAGAGTCACATTTCATTGATCTCTTTCCATATAAAACTTTAATATATTCCTGTTAAAATTATCATTGCCACCATAATCATCTTCATTAGTTGCATTATTAGCACTATTATATTTATAATTATAATAATAATTAATACTATTCCTATATTTATCAATATTATTCTATTATTCCTGTGAACATCACTATTGTTACTCCTATTATTGTATCCAATGACATTTAGTTGATATTCTACATCTATTAAAAAGTTAATCATACCGTCCATTCCTCTATATTAATTTTCTAAAATTACCAAAAAAATTAACTTTATTTAATACAATTTTTAATTCACATATAAACTTGTTATCATTTAATGCACGTAACAGGAATGTAAAAAAAATAAATGTAGCAAATAATAGGTTTAAATTTGATCCTAAATGAAGTAGGCTATATATTACTTTAATAGTTATTTCGTTTGACATAGATATTAACTTAAGAAAAAGGACTGACACTTTGATCAAATTTCCAGTGTTTCAAAATGTCTCAATTCATTGGAATTATATAATACATTCTTCAAATATCACAGGTGAAATGGCCGCCGCAATACATGTGGAAATATACAACATTTCAACGTTGGAATCATAAAAGTAAATGCTGAGAGTGGGGGAGAGTTTTATCACCGAAAAATCGGTTACAACATCCAATGAATTTCATTCATGGAACTTTAGATAATGTTTGCACCTTTTCATATACCCAATCGTAAGTTTGACTTGCTAATGTTTGTGTAGTATCAATAGCCTTTGAAGCATAATTTTGT